ATGAGCTCCTATTTCAAAGAAGTGCATCTAAATGGGGGAAGAGAGAAATGTAAAGATTGCTGGGTGCCATTTTTTTTTCAATTCTGGCATCAACTGGAGCAAGCAAACTTATTAGCCCCTTTATATATTTTTGGTATTAATAAAACCATCTCTATTGTAGAAACATTAAAGCATCTGTTTTTTGAGTGTCTAGGAAAACACTAGGAATTTAATCAAGCGCTTAATTTTCCTTGTCCAAAATAAATTTGTAATAAGGAATTACAATTAGCCTTCTTGGTATTAATTTTCATAAAATCAATGCATATACAACATATTTAAGCAATTTATTTGCAATTGTGTGTTTATTGATTACACATACACACAAAGAAATTAAAATATCCATGTTAAAGTCATTCTATTTTTACTGCATTCTGTTCCCATTGTGCTTTCAAATGCAAGAATAGGACTTATGTAAATGCCCCCTATAGGAGTCTGACCACCACAGTATGTGGATATATATGTTTTAAATTTTCCTTTCTAAAAAAGCACTATACTTATAGGCTATACATTCAGAAAGTTTTCTAAAATAAGAGGCCAAAGCATTTAGTCACCACCAGACTGAGGTCATCAGAACTTCTCATGAACATGTTAATTATTACTTTGAAATATCACTCAACAAGTAATTTAACAATGCATTGCAATGTGTTTGAAATGGTTTTGTCTTTCACACTTTTTATAAGGCCTATCATTTTTATTATTTGTAATTATTATAAAATGAATAAATAAAATGTTATTTTAAAATTTGCATGATTTATTTCATTATTAGCTTTTCATTAAACTCACAAACTCCCCAGTTCCTTCACAGACCCCAGTTTGGGAAACCCTCAAGGAATTTAAAGTTTACTGCACTTCATGTTGATAAAGAATGGAATATATTTTCATTTTCTTTGTATTTTTAAATCAATATGGTTAGGGTTGGGTATCGAGAATCGAGTATCGATTGGAACCGGGACTAACTTTTCGTTTTTCCCGGAATCGTTCAAAAGTTAAAATTTCGATTCCTAGTTTCGATATTCATAGTCCGCCGACCGGAAGAAGAAACTGCTGAACAACACCAACGAAGAAGCGTCTACCGGAAGTGTTGGCATAATCGCGCGAGTCGAATATGAGTGGCTTACGTCGGCGGTCCAAAGTGTGGCTTCACTTTTCTAAAAATAACGAAATCTCGGCAAAATGCAAAATTTGTGACAGAAGGAGTATTTCCTTCAGAAAGTATTATTTCCTTCAGAAAAACCTTTGGTTAACAAGGTTAGCTAAACTTTTTTGACCCTCCCTCTTAAAAGAATCGGAATCGAGAATCGTTAGGAACCGGAATCGAAACAAGGAATCGGAATCGGAATCAGAATCGTTCAAATTCAAACGATACCCAACCCTAAATATGGTACAATATTACCCTATTCAATTCAATGTGATAAAGGAGTTTGGTCAAAGTAATCAAAGTAGTTGGATTATATTACATAAAATGTGTAATGAAATGGATTACAATAATTTGGAATCAGTAATGCCCAACAATTTGTAAGTTATCTACCCAGCACTGTATACTAGTGGTCATGTAAAACAGAGCAGCTGCTTCTGGTAGCAGTTATACATTTATTATTCATCCCAGAATGCATTCAAGACACCATTATCCACATGGCTGGAGAAGTAATGTTTCATGGAAATGGTCTGCATCAGGACCAACATTACATAACATCCTTGCCTCAACATATAACCCTACCTTGCCACACCATCACGTTTACAACCATACGAGTGCCTTTCCATGGCAGAAATAGAAGCAGACAGACCTTTCAGCTCCACAATATCTTATATCCAAGGAAATATCAATAATGCAGGCCTGCATCGCATAACTAGCGGGCAAGTCTTGGGAAGCACCACGGTACAAGTTCAACAACAAATGCTCCACAGATCGGTTCTGATCTGCTCCAAGCCTTCAGGCAGAGTTGAAGAAGCTGAGTCATTATAGATAAAAGACTAAGACAGATCCTAATTTGATTTTATGTGAACCACAGTATGTATCCCAGCATGCATCTCAGCTCAGCAGAAGTTCCTTGCTGTTCAAAATGCAACAGAAATATAGAATAATATGTTACCACACTGTAAAAAATATTTTCAAGATTTGTTATCACAACATATTTTCTTTTGTCAAATCAACTTTATAATAATTGATTTATTTGAGATAACTTATTATTTTGAGTTTCTGATGGTTAAATTAATCTACTTCATTGTATTAACTCACTTTTTCCAGTTCAGTCAACTTAAAATTTTAAGGCAACCCAGGTTACTTACTTTTTTAAGTTAAACCAACAATATTTTTTTACCGTGTATTAATCACAACATTTTTTCTTTTGTCAAATCAACTTAAATAATTTATTTAGTTCAGATAACATATAATTTTGAGTTTCTGATGGTTAAATTAATCTCCTTCATTGTATTAACTCACTTTTTCCAGTTCAATGAACTTAAAATTTTAAGGCAACCAGGTTACTTACTTTTTTAAGTTAAACCATCAATATTTTTTTACAGTGCAGTTTCATTAGTAAAAAAAGAACATTCGTACCTGGTAATAAAAGCGATCAGTCTCTTTACAAGAACAGAAACTTTATTTTTTTTATGATTTATGCATTTCTTTCTCTGTTACAAAGTGCTTCCCAGTCTGGGCCTAATGGTCTCTGGAAGCCTTATGACAAAATATATGAAAACCTGGCATAGGGCTACAGAATCTCTAGGACACTGCCAATAAGAGAAAAACATGTCCCTGTGATTTAAAATCTCAGGCTATAAATCTTGTGAAGGTGCTTTTTTCAGCTAGTGAAGGGGAATAATCAAACAGCTCACACACAGAGGAATGTGTTATATCTGACTCAGACATAACCGACTGTAGCTGAACACAATGTGACATGAGGCTGAAATACTGATCTCAGCAGAGCTACAAGATAATGAGGGTGAAGGGATCATTTTTATCGATCATCTAACCGAATGAGCCTATACACATCTTTATTTGTCTCATTTATTTATGTGGAAGTTGCATTTGGTTTGGACCAAATTACGAAATTTTCCCAAATTTTGAGTCACGGATCAAATCATTGTTCAAACCATCAAAAAAAAAAAAAAAAAAAAAAATCATTATCGGATCGGATCATTGGTGCAATTAACATTGATTTCCATTTATTAGTCATTATTAAAGACAAGTGAACAGTCAGTAAAAAGACAAAATTCAAGCATTGATATACAATAAAACCAAGTTATAAAATAAAGTAAGTTCTACAAGTAGTATTCGGGTATAAAAAACATCAATTAAAGTTGTTTAAGACTTAATCATTTTAAATGTATTTGTATGTATAATTTCAGACGTAATGTTTTAGTTCTATCAAATGCCAGCGCTGGCTTTATAACCACTAGGCTTCTAGTTATGCTATTTTGTGTCTACGACAAACACGTACAAACATTTCGGACCAGAATTTGTATATGTACTACATTACATTATTTGTAACTGAAACTGAAAAACTGAAAAATAAGACCATACAACAAAAAAATCTATCATTTACAATTTTGCTCTTAAACAGGCCTGGCCTGCACAGTCCTGATGAAGTCTTAATGTAACCGCACTTGTGGTGCCAGCACGTGGCCCATGTTTTCCTCTCAGCTGAGTGAAACCAAGCACACTGCATTTGAACCGTGCTTATGCAACAGCATGCCAGCTTCATGAAATATCAACTCCAATCAGGAGTAACCCAGTGAAACCCTATTTGGTCTGACTTTGTTTAAAGAAGGAATGTGTGGGTATCAGACAAAGACTGACCAGACATTGTGTTAACTTTAATATCTCAAATTTATATTTAGAGTTTTGATTATTTTTTTTTTTTACATTACATGCATTGCATGGACCTTTCTCATTGGAATTAAAATGCTAAGGTACTGGAACTTAGTTGGTCACCAAAAGGTTACAGGTTTGAATCCCAGCAGAGTTTAATTTAATAGTCAATATCACTGTACACTAGACTAGAGCAAGGGACACACTTGGAAAAGTAATTTTTTCTTTGTTCACCATACATTTTTTAATGATCGTCTTACATTGTAACAATGTAAGATGAGCATTAAAAACGTTATAGTGAACATGAACAAAGAAAAAAAATTACTTGTCCAAGAGTGTCCTTGTCCAACAATGGTATTCATATTCATCTATTAAATTAATAATACTGTTTAATGTAACTTTCTTTACAAAATCACGTGATTTGTTGTAAGCAATATTAATCAATGATGGTTTTGTATTTATTTAAAGTTTACTTAAAATATTATCCATGTATATTAATAATAATATCACGTATAGTATTAAATAACTATTAAATGCATTTATTTTAAAAATAAAAAAATATTTAAAATATTTAAAAGAAATTTAAAATAAATATTTTATATTTTCTTGGAAAATAATTTGTGTCTTGAAAGGTTAAGATATTAAACATCTAATTAATAATGAAATGTATTGGGGATGTTTACAAGTTTACAAGGCAATTATAGATTCACTGGGATTTTGGAAAATAATGAACAGCTGACTGGCCCTGTTTCACTTGCATAGTTAATACAAGCGAAATATATGCGAAAACTGGCTCCTCAGGTCACACCGAATGAATACTTTCACCTTCCTCTGCCCATGAAAGACATTTCAGTGTTTCCTTCAAAGAAACAGTGGGCTATAGCTTTCGATTTGGCAGGCAGAGTATGGTGGTTGTGTTTACATACAGTTCCGAACCCCAATCTCACAAATATGGAAGCGATTATTAAATGGCATCGTCGCCAAGTCATATAAACAGCTTACAAATGTAACTTATCTTCAGTTCGCATCCTTGCGCACTACAGAGCATACACACAACACAGATACTTTATGGCCATTTCTCTGGCGGTGTAATTAAAAAAGAGCCTCGAAGCTGACTCTCCGAAATGTTTCACAAATCAAACGTACTTACATCTCAGTAGGCACTTTGTCAATCCATATTGCCATCAGAAGAGTTTTGATGCATGCGAATCTCTTGCCAAATTCCAGCGCGCAGGCTGCCTCTCGCTCTTCCTTGCGCTGCTGCATAGTGTGGCCCCGCCCTGATGTGTGACGTCAGCCCCCAGTGCCCTGCCTATCCCACACGCTCTGTCCGCAACTGCACGTGCAAGCAAAACAGCAAATGTTTTAACCATGGTTAAACACAACGCAGAACGCAGTTCAGTATTATAGTTTAATATAGCCTACTGGCTTGGTTGCAGTTCCTTTAATTATGAATCTTTAGAATTCCAAATATAATCTTTAATTAGGGCCCGAGCACCGATGGTGAGAGAACCCTACTGTATTGTTATTGTATTGTTTATGTGCATGCATAGTCAATTACATTGGACTGAAAGAAATTGAACATTTCTAAAGAAAAGCTGGAGAACCAATAAGCATTTTACTTAAATTGGGTAGTAATTTCATGGTGCATTTGAAAAAAAACAAAAAGTCAATTTTTCATATCATATAGGCTATCTCTAATTATGATTAGGCCTATATATAATAATGTAGGCTAACTTTCTTACATTGATGGGTCTTATTCTCAGATTAATTGTAAACTGCTAAAATGTTCCTGCAAACATCAGTCGATTTCATGCCACGCATGGGTTCTAAGATCTATATTGCCATCACGTGGATGGTTGTAAAAATACAGTCACAGTTTTAATTTTTATTTCACTTTCTGTTTGGTCAGTGTGATATTAAGTCAGGCAACATATAGAACTAGCCTACAATGTTTGAATCTCTCAATAATCGAATTCACAAAAAGGGCTCTGAACTTGCTGCCAAATTACACATTTTAAAGATGTTTTAAAAATAACAAATATCAAGGCACACACGTTATGAATATTTTCCTGAACTAACAAAGTACAATAATATAAGAATGAAATATAAGATTGAATTCATTTTCTCTGGAAGAAGACCATGTGCATTGATAAATACAGAAATCTATTAACAGCTGATGCATTTGTTTATGAACATAAGAGATAACCAATAAAAGATGAAATAAGTTAAATAGGTTAATCTAAAATGAGCTTGATGACAGACTATTTTAGAGAAAGACTTCTAACAGCTTCAGGATCAAATTAATACTAACCCTATTTTATCTATAAATATCCCAAACTGGGTCATTATAATTATTTATTTACTTATTTATTTGATGGATGGATTTCTCAATACAAAGACTATATTCACATTAGAGGAGACTTAAACAGAGGAGACTTAAACTTAAAGGGGGGGTTGACTGCGATTTCACTTTTTTCATTTTAAATAGTGTATAGCCGAATGTTGCTGTTGGTGCATGAACAGTATCTGCAAAGTTGCAGCGCTGAAAGTTTAGTGTAAGCAAAGATATCGTCTTTTAAAAATCAGGAAGTATCATTGCCTACAAAAAAGACTCGATTGGGACTACAGCTGGCTTATGGTACGTCACTAACCTACACATTTGCATCAACCCTCCCTCCGGAATATGCAGGAAAAGGCATGGACATATTTCTGCGGCACGTCGAGTGTGTTGTGTTCACCCAGCTGTCAGGTCTTCTGTGTTCGAGCTTCCCATGGATGCTGTACTTCCTCAACAATGGATACAATTTATGTTTGATTATGTTCCTGAAAATGACGATCGTAATCTAGCTCTCTGTGCTGCGCATTTTACGGAAGACAGCTTCCAGAATCTCCACGAGTTCAACACCGGCTTCAACAAGAAACTGTTAAACTAAACTAAAACATGAAGCAGTTCCGACTTTAAAACAAGAGGCAGCAGTTGTTGCCTGTAAGTAGGCTAAGACTTCATCATTTTAAATGTATTTGCATGTATAATTCCAGACGTAGCCTTGTGTTTTTTTTTTTTTTTTTTTTTTTTCAAATGCCAGCGCTGGCTTTATCCACAAGTTTCCTACGCCCCATGAGGCCTTGCGTCAAAAGTGGGCGCGACTTCCGGTTTGAAGTAAACAAAGCGCTACTTGACATGCTTGACACTGGTTCATTCAACAGTTGACGGTCATTCAAGTTAGCGATCCAAACTAGCTAACGATGTGGGAACACAACCTCAACAAAATTAAAAAGGGTGAAATAACAGTGCCTTTACCCTCCGCAGTAGTTGATTGGGAGTATTATAATAACATTATTAATAATCAATACTCATCAAGGCATGTTGACAGACAGTTGTGCGAGCTGACAAACAATTAAAATAAAAAATACACACTTAGTCATTGTGCTTTGGAGTTTATTCAAAATTATAAATGAATGTGCTGCTTGAATACATTAACTGGCACATTTGGTATTCTGTCAACACAGGCTTTGATCCTGAGTTTAGCTGTAACATCAGTAGCGAACAGCCAAACACATGCTGATAGAGTTTATAGAATATTAAGAATTTAAACAAATGTACACAGGATGATTCGTTGTCTTTTGGGAGGTTGATGGAAACTTCAGTCGTTGGTAGGATCACTGTGATTTCGTTTTCAGCTTATGTTCAAAACAATCACGTTTAAGCCACTGAATTAGTTTAGTCCGGTTATACATACAACCGCGAACAGCGCATGTTGTCCCTGAGCTCCGGAACGACATCTCTCATAAAGATTGGCGTCTTTAAATAGTAAAATAATTCTCAGAAAAACAGCTAGCCTCTTCGCTAACTAACACACAAAATACCATTGGAATGCTACATTTCGCCGCGTCACCGGAAGTTTCACCCACTTTATTTTTTACATGAGCGCCCCTCGGAAACTTGTGGATAGCCACTAGGCTACTAAACTCAGCAAAAAAAGAAACGTCCCTTTTTCAGGACTGTGTATTTCAACAATAATGTTATAAAAATCCAAATAACTTTACAGATCTTAATTGTAAAGGGTTTAAACAATGTTTTCCATGCATGTTCAATTTACCATAATCAATTAATTAACATGCACCTGTGGAATGGTCATTAAGACCTTAACAGCTTACAGCGTAGGCACTTAAGGTCACGGTTCTAAAAACGCAGGACACTAAAGAGACTTGTCTACCGACTGTGAAAAACACCCAAAGAAAGATGCCCAGGGTCCCTGCTCATCTGCATGAACGTGCATTAGGCATGCTGCAGGGAGGCATGAGGACTGCTGATTTGGCCAGGGCAATAAATTGCCATGTCCGTACTGTGAGACGCCTATGGCAGCGCTACAGGGAGACAGGAAGGACAGCTGATCATCCTCGCAGTGGAAGGCCACGTGTAACAACACCTGCACAGGATCGGTATATCCAAATATCACACCTGCGTGACAGGTACAGGATGGCCACAACAACTGCCCGAGTCACGCCAGGAACACACAATCCCTTCATCACTGCTCAGACTGTCCGCAATAGGCTGAGAGAGGCTGGACTGAGGGCTTGTAGGCCTGTTGTAAGGCAGGTCCTTACCAGACATCACCAGCAACAACGCCGCCTATGGGCACAAACGCACCTTCGCTGGACCAGACAGGAATGGCAAAAAGTGCTCTTCACTGATGAGTCACGGTTTTGTCTCACCAGGGGTGATGGACGGATTCGTGTTTATCGTCGAAGGAATGAGCGTTACACCGAGGCCTGTACTCTGGAGCGGGATCGATTTGGAGGTGGGGGGTCCGTCATGGTCTGGGGCGGGAGATCGCGGGAGACTGGGTGATTGTGAGGAGAGACTTGGAGATCGCAGGAGACTGGGTGATTGCGAGGAGAGACTTGGAGATCGCAGGAGACTGGGTGATTGCGAGGGGAGACTGGGAGATTGCTGGAGACTGGGAGATTGTTGGAGACTGAGAGATTGGGTGATCACTGGTGGGAAGGATGGATGCTAGAAGTGTAGTGAAGAGGATGGTGACTAGGGTGAACTGTGACAGAAGAAAAAATCCCATATTTTGGGGATGTATTCCAGGAAATCTCCCTTATTTTCAATGTTCAATGTTGACAGCTGGACTGGATACGGTAAAAGTTTAATAAATCAACTTGCTCCGCTGAATACGTCACCTTCTTCATTGCTCTGATTGGCTTTAGCGCTATCCAATTGCGTGCAGAGAGAATTTGAAAGACAAATATTTATCCCGCCCCTCGGATTGAGCCCTGTCAATGAAGAGTTTCCAGACCTAACATCTTGATGTAGGTCTGGCATGCCATGCTACCACTCTTCCTCTTCTCAGCATGGACTGCATGTTTCTGGAGGCGGGATTAATGCACATTTTAGGGTTGGTGACGTCACTAACCCGGGAGGCTTTCTTTAAAAGCAAATATTCCTTTGCTTTGAACGTTGAGCATTGTAAATTTGATTATTTTTTGCTAAAATAGCAACATTAAACACTAACTTAAGTTAGAAAAGTGAAATCATACTTTACCACTTCTTTAACTTGTCAATTTTGCTATAGTAGATTCGGGTTCATTTTACAATTGACTGGCAGAGCTAGAGAAATGATATCCACTTTTTGGTGTGTTACTTTTTATCAATTCTTTTTATTCTTGCTTATCTATAAGCCACTTAAATTACTCAATTTAAACAGTTTTCTTTTAAAAATAAAAATCTGTCTGGCTTTTACAAATTTGATTAAGTTTGTACTGTTTGTCTTTGTGAATATGTGCAGACAAATGAGTGTCTATTTAAAATACCTACATGTGTATTTATTACAAATTCCTACACATGCAAAACAAGGGTAATCTGCCTAAACCAGGCATATTTTTGATATTTATAATGTATCTTCATATTGAATAACTTTAATTGTGGTAAAATATTCTATTTGCATATACACTGACCTCATGAAGAAGAATCTGTCATGCAGGTGTATGTGCACTTATGCGTTTTATTTTTACATTAAACTCACAACAAGTTAATATTTCGGCACAGTTATTTCACAAGTATACATACATAGGGCATTAGTGTCTTTGGAATATGTGTAGATCTATATCACAGCTAAATAAACTTTTCACAGTCGTTCAGCTATTTTTATAAAAGGAAACCAAATACGGACTCCAGTAATGTATGATGGCAGATGCTATTTTCGATTCCATTACCTCACCAGACCATGAAAATCCAGTTCTCTGATTACACAGTTTAACTTGAAATCAGAAATGCTTCTGTCATTGATGAAAATATCAGTCACACATCTCTTCACTTACATAAAAGATGATTTTTATTAGCTGTTTGGATTTATTTTGTAGACTGAGTCACTACAGACTCTAAGAATAGTTACTTCTGGTCTTTTTTTATCCCCGGACACCAGACGGAGATATACACAAACATTTTGCTTGAAGACATAATGTGGACCGATGATTAACAAAGCAGCTGGACAGTGTTGGTAACACAAACAAACTAGTAATGTGAGCATTTCAATTTGATTAAGACTGACAAGAAGATGATTTTTCAGCAGCTATGCGTCTTGTAGTTTTACGGTTCCTGGCTGGATATTTTGGAGCTCTAAGCTCATTGTTCGTCCTGGGATCTCTTGTGTCCGATTACTGGCTTATGGTATTTGAATCTTGTGATCATGCGGCTTTTTTCAGAGTTACAGAGGTAAGGATCAGACTTATTTGGCATGTGTTCAAATGATTTGTTCATTTATTTTATTAGACTTTAACTATACAATCAAGTGACTGAGAATTCAGCAATAGAGAGCTTTAATGAACAATGAATAAATTAATCCTTCAGACTATTAGAATTATAAGCCTACATCGTAGTTGATATGTTTGATTGAAACCACAAGAAAGAAACTTTTGCCACAGAAAAAAATATTTTGGGTTCCTCAAATAACCTTTCAAAGAACAGTTTGTAAGTGGCCCCAAATGCAGTGATGAATTTTCAGCAAGATAATAACTGAATTGAATAATATCAATTTTAACTTGATTTTTATAAGTAAATTTTGTTATTATGATTAGGATATCTCTCAGACACAATCAAGCATTCAGGCTGAAAATACCCTGTTCTACCATGAGGGCCTCTTTTGGAGATGTTCCTATAGCGGTACAAATGGAGAGCAGGACAACATGCTGGCTTTTTGGATCAGTAGGTCAACTCCTTCTTTTGTACTTGGCATGCAACTTGGAACTTAAAAACCATTGCACTACTGCTTGTTAAATTTGAAAATCTGGCATGGAAATAAAATGTAACAGTGTGCTCCATATACAACCAACACAAGAAGAAATAAGACAACAGAAGCATATATAAATTCGCCATTCTCAAGAATTGGTGCAAACTGCTGTCCCAACCCCCACTTGTAAAAAAATGTGTCCCGCATTACCATGCTACTACCAAAACAGTGTATGTTTTATTCCATTGGCTGAGACTGATTTTAACTACACCCCTATATTTTTGTTTAGGAAACATTCCTGTGTCCTCTCTCATAGTAGATGGGGCCGACCATTTTCAGATAAATGTGTTAAAAAATCTTTGTGTATTATTAAGTAACGTTACTACTAAACACCTTTTTTTTGCAATTAAGCACATTTTGTGGGGTGTTATTACATAATGTAGTTTTTATCTGTGTACAACTTTTCAGAACTGTGCTAGCTAACCATGTGCTGACCATGTGCATCTTTGACCGAAACATGTGGTGAAGTTAGTTCATTAGTATGAATGAGTGGATGCAAGTGGCATGGCAAGTGGCATGGGAACACATTAGTATTTTTTTAGAAGTGTTTTAATATGCGAGTTAAACTTCTGCAATGTGATTTGGTCGCAACCGAAACATTACTGTCACATTACAACATGGATGTTTTGTCAAAAACCCTCCTTTTATACCCACGAGGTGGGGTGGAGTTGCGCCATGCAAATCCCGCAGACCCATGGCATTTCTTTGCCATTGGCTCGTTTTTTAATATTTGAAGTCGATAGGCTTTCTAAGCGAAACATTCGTCGTCTTTCGTCGTCACTCGGCGTAACGTCTCCGTTCCCTACTCAGGGAACGAAGGTTACATACGTAACTAAGACGTTTTTTTTCTCACACTCCTGAAGATTTTCCACTTCTGTAGCACCTACATACAACAAACAGTACAGTCTTATTTCCAACTATATTGTGAAGGTTTTTCCAGAGGGATTTGTTGATTTATCATTCTTGGCCTGATTTCTATGACATTTTATGCCTAAAAATTTAATGCTATTGGCAGTATTTTCTGATTTACAGGGTAAAAAAAAAGAGTATATTCCCCTATATTCCCCCTATATGAGCCCAAAAATATTAACCCTCAGGTGATGTCTTTTCATTGAATATATCAACAAAATGCTAAAATAATTTTGAACCTTATTTTTTTCAATGGTGAGATTCGTCATTTCAAAATATATGGAAAATAGTGCATATTTAATTTGATATTTCCTAATTAGCATATTCAAACATAAAATTACAGAAAACTCGCAATTCATTTTTTTCTCCTATTCATGCAAGTAATCAACTGGTAAAGTTTCATGGTGATATCTGTAAGTTAAAATTTTTACCGTATTCATCTGTAGTGGTGTCTTATCTTAAAGAGTCAATTGGCGGCCATCTTGAATTTGTAGGTCAAAAATAGGTAAAATCAATAAATCTACACAATTTATGAATTTCTTGACCCAAATAGTGTAAGAAACAGTGTAAGAAACCATGTATTATGCAGCACTATGGGCAAAAACCATTAAAAAGTTAATTTCCAGCTTGGCCGACGGCAGCCATTTTGGATATCGGGCTCTCACAAAATTTCCCCACATTTTTGTGAGGGGCACCCCGGCTCATTTTTTTCTTTAACCTTTATAGATGACAAATCCAGTGAGAAACGAACCTTCGCTCTCCACGGTCACAAAACGGCTATGACCCAACTACTAAATTTTTGCTGACACTTATTTTTATTTTTACATCATGCCTGATGTAACTTCACCTTTTTTACCTTAGAAATCAAAGCACCTGATTGTTTGCTCTTTCTTGTAAACACATTGTCTCATTTTTCACCAGCCAATCCGCCATCCCAGAAGGTTTGCATGCCAGCCTACTTGTCTCATGCTCCCATTTCAGGACTTCCAAAGATTCGAATCTCTGACTCTGTTACAGGTGAGATTTCGAGCTGCAGTTTGCTCTCCAATATGTTGCCAATATGATGGAAATCCTTCTCATTTGCTGTGTGGTCAAAATAATAAAACTCAATTTTCCATTGTCAGTGCAAAGGGCCTTTTGGTGCGTTATATTTGTTCTGGGAGTCCTTTTTGTGATGATTGGTGGGTTTGTCACAATCTGTGCAACTGCAGGGACCAGCCATCGCCTTTATGAGGCTGGAGGGGCTCTGTTTATAACTGGAGGTGAGAAAAAAAAGTTGTAGTTGAAAAAAAAAAACCCTTTGTAGTAACTCTACAGTGATTTTACTCAAATGTTCTCTTTTCATATGCAGGTGTCTTAATCATGTTGGTAGTGCTGTTGTTTGCTGTGTGGGTTCAGGTCTCGGAATCTTTAGAGTGGTACGGCCTCCAGCGCAGACACATAGTGTGTCCTCATCTCTATCTCAGTGTGCACTATGGACCGTCTTTTATGCTGGCTCCCACTGCTGCCTTCCTCTGCTTGCTCACTGGCCTACTTCTCCTGCTCCTTCCATCAGTCAGCAGATCATCAGCCAGGGACACAGAGAATCAGCCATTCTCACTGCGAGAGGAATGTGTGTAGTGTTTTTGTGTAAACATGACAATGATTCTTTCCCAATTCACCCATAAAACTGATAATTATGAATCTGTCATAATTTAGGGCGGGGTGATAATTGTTTAATTATTAAATTGCTTCAACAATATAATTTTTATTTTATTCTTCAAGACGGGGAAAATATTTATTTTTGTTAACATTTTAAGTTTGTTCTGTGAGTGACGTCTTTGAAATGAGAAATTAGTTGAATGCTACTGGATTATCTTAAAACAATCATTGATCAGCATATGGTGGAGTCGAGAGACTGTTTTCACTTGCCTGTCCTGACAAGGCTTCTGGGCCAGACGGCATCCATCTCTGGGCGGATATTGAAATCTTGCAGTAGAGAGCTGGCAAAAGCCTGGTGCCCCATTTATCAGAAATCTATGGACACACACAGTTCCCTCAATTTGGAAGAGTTCCACTATTATCCCTGTCACAAAAAAGGGTAAGCTGTAAGGAGAATAATGATTGTCGTCCAGTAGCACTCCAATAGTAATGAATTGTTTTGAGAAAATTATGATTATTTATTGTAAAAATAAAACCCGCCCACCGATTCGCGCATTACACGCATAGCTAAGTAGCCTAACATACATGCCTACCCTAATGATGACAAACCGGATCGTTCTACCGAGCAATACAGAATATTGTGCAGTGCCTGGTTGTGGAAGAAGACAGTCGCTGCATAAGCTTCCTCTGGATTCCAATAGGACTTCATGGATAAACTTTATATTTAATAACGTTCCAGCTGATGAGGGTAAAACATGGTCGTCTGTTCGCTTCATTTCACTGAGGATTGTTTTGTAAACAAGACTGGATTTGCAGACGATTAAGAGTAAAAAACGTGCTGTGCCGTCTATATTATTGGATCTGACAGGAATTGTGCAACAAACGGACTCTTGGTTGAACATGTATGGGCGAATCCGGTTGCCATTTGACAACATTGGACGTTTTCCCCAACGTACACCGACCGGTGAGTTAAACTCATTATAATATGCAAAACTGTTATCCACTCACAGCAGTGGGCGTTTATTTCCAAGTCTTCAGTGCGACACGCCCATAAAAATCGACCGTTTTTCAGGAAGGCTCACAACTTGGCTACAAAATAGCCTATTACTTATTCATTGATGATGTTTTTGAATGCAAAAACCAAGCGAACGTCATAAGTTGACCTCAGACAACAATATAATAAAATTTTAAAAGCCAGTTCATGACCCCTTTAAATGCCAGAGAATGCATATAATTACATCCAGTTATTTATCTGATAATGTATCCTGAATTTTATTTGTAACACTGGCTAATGGGAAAAAGTAGAGGTGACTTGTTGAGTCAGTGGCATGAATCTACCATGAACCAAATTAACTTAAAACACGTTTAGCACTGTTTTCCTAGCTCACTCACTTTGGGCTTGTAGCCGAGGCTGTTTGCTGGCATCAGGAGGAGAGCTGCTGTCTTGACGGCGCTTAAAAAATTGGCGGATATCCATTTTTACAATTCATTCATCATTACATGAGACACGTAGGCTAGTTTGGGCTAGTGACTGATGAATGTTGATGCAGTCTGCTGCTTCCTGCTGGCTACACAAGAGATTGGTCAACACTGACAGTAATAATGAACAATATGAAACTAAAACGACATAAGCTTAATTTAAAATGGCTTAGGAACTATAGGCTATTCAGAGGTGGATAAACGCACTTTGAAGGTGGGTAAACGCACTATTTCTGAATTTTGGGTGGTGCGCAATGTGCTAACGGCGTTTATGTGCGTTTAGCCTCCACTACATCCCTGAATACTTGGGGTAGAGGCGAGGGCAGACATTGCACCTCGTAAGCCATAAAAATTGCTTTCACAGTCCACTTGCTGATCTGTTTGGAAGCCAGGCAGCCCTCTTTCGGGAGCCCACAAAGGAAACGAGGTGCTTTCCCAGTGGTCCACCACTTAATTGTGCATGGAAGGCAGCTGGCAACTACATAGACCTTAAAAATAGATGGGGAAAGACCGGCAGAAAAATGATCTTGAAGGAACTCCAGCACAGAAGCCACTGGGCACTTAACTGGGTCCAACTGATGTTCTCTTCACCATAAAGTGAAAACTCTTAATTTTGGGGTAAAAAAGTTTAAGATGGTCTCTACAACCTCCGCTGAGTGACCAGTATAAATAAATAATGCTAATGTCAGTGGCCATGACACTGAAGGAGCAATCTTTATTACAGTTCAAAAGGGCAAACAGTCAAAGTTATATTATTTTGTGAGTTGACTCGAAATACAAAAAAATGCAAAACTGCAAAGTAGCATTTGTCATCCGTCACTGGGACAGCAAGTGGACTTTTGAAGCTGGAATAGTGAGTGGATTAAGCATGGATGGAACTTTCTTGGCAAGGAGCATTATGCTTCACAGTTAGGGAGAAGGCTACTAACATTAGGTAAGACAAAAAGATTTATTTTAGTAACTTGTTTATTGACATTTGCTTTGGTATATATCAGGTTCAGTCGGGTCGGGTTGCGTCCAACTTTCAAATAATAGACATGTCCGTATCTGTTGTGTATTGTTTACTTACCGTTTCGGGTTTTGTCCTTACGGTGATTCCGTATTTGCCCTCCTCGGGATATTGTTCATGCGCAGAACAACTGTGTCTTGTTGAGTCTCGAGTCAGTAAAGGCTGCTATGTGAAATGCTCGTGTCAGTGTCATCACTCTAAACAAGTCGTGCATAAATAGCACTCCACGATGTAACAAAGTTGGCGACGAGGATAAACTCTCTCTCTCCCTCCTAGATAACGTGCTATTCAGCTGACGGCGACTCGTTAACCGCAACGGCGTCGAGCAGTGGAAGCTAACAGGCAAAAACGCACGCGAGTCATGTCGTGCGATGCTCGTCGCGCTGGGAAATAGCGCAAACAGAGAACGGCAACTGCACACCACGAAGGCGACGCAAAACGGCACGGGAGGGAAAGGAGTCCAGTATAAAAGAAGAGTGAGTGGTAAATTACACTGACAAACAGACCAAAATGGCGGGTCTAGTGGGGCAAATCGGACCATATGATGAAACTGTCGAGCAGTGGAGCTCGTATACGGAGCGGTTCGATTATTTTGTCAAGGCTAATGGGATAAAAGATGAGGTTCTAGTACCAACTTTTCTCAGTGTAATGGGTTGTAAGACATATAATCTACTACGTAGCCTGGTCCAGCCCAATAAACCTGGTGATAGCTCATTCAAGGACATTGTAACAATGCTCCAGGAACATTATGCACCAAAACCACTCATCATTGCTGAAAGATTCCGCTTTCATAAACGCAACCAATTAGAAGGAGAATCGATTGCACAATTTGTGGCTGTACTGAAGCGTCTGTCAGAACACTGTGAGTTCGGCACAACACTGAGTGACACCATAAGAGACAGATTTGTGTGTGGGTTGCGTAGTGAGACCATTCAAAAGCGACTCTTATGTGAAAGTAACCTAACGCTAGAGCGAGCAATGGAAATCGGTGTATCCATGGAAATGGCTGCAAAAGAAGCACAAGAGTTAAGCACAGCCAGTCAAGTTCACAATGTGTACAGTGAAAGAGTGAAACAGGATGATAAGCGAGCATGTTACCGCTGTGGAAAGAGTAGTCATATGGCACAGGAATGCTGGTTCAAAGACTGCAGAAACTGTGGAAAAAAAGGCCATATTGAACGTGTGTGCCAAAACAGAAAGCAAAATGAGAAAGCAAACCCAGCTAAACCTGGAGAGTTCAAGAAAAGTTATGTCAGAAAACTCAAAAAGAAAAACGTGAATCAAGTGAAATATTCAGGGAAGCAACAGGAGGATGAATCTGATGAAACTGAATACTCGCATGTAATGTCTGTGTCTTCAAATTCTGATGGCTACTGGGTGACACCACTTCTAGATGGAAAAGCTGTCCCAATGCAAGTGGACACAGGAGCTGCTGTATCGCTCATGGCAGAGTCAACTTACCGAGAGAAGTGGCCATACCTCTGTCTCAAAGAAGCGAAGCTGAGCTTGAAAACATACACAGGTGAGCTTGTACCTCTGTCAGGAGTCGTGGATGTGTCTGTAGAGCTAAACAGACAAAAGGTAAACTTACCACTGTATATTGTGAAAGGTAGTAGTCACACAGCTCTGATCGGTCGATCTTGGCTAGAGAAAATAAAGCTAAACTGGCAGGAAGTACATTTAGTGGCGAAAGAGTCTACCAGCCTACAACACATTCTGAGGAAGCATGCAGAGGTGTTTGGAGATAAATTGGGAAGCATGATATCACTGTAAAACTGACCATTAAGTCTGATAGTAAACCTAAGTGCTTAAAGGCTCGCCCAGTTCCTTACGCCATAAAGCCTAAGGTAGGAACTGAATTAGACCGGCTGGAGGAAACCGGTGTACTGAAGAAAGTGAGTGTTAGCGAGTGGGCCACGCCAATTGTTCCTGTACTGAAAAAGGATGGATCAGTCAGAATTTGTGGCGATTTCAAGGTTACTATCAACCCGGTGTTAACTGTTGAACACTACCCCTTGCCACTAATTGAAGATCTGTTTGCTGGATTAGCAGGCGGCCAAAAATTCAGCAAGATAGACTTATGTCAAGCTTACCTCCAAATGCAGGTGGATCCTGTTTCCCAAGAGCTGCTGACCATCGTGACACACAAGGGCCTATACAGGTATCAGAGGCTTCCTTTCGGCATAACTTCGGCTCCAGCGTTGTTCCAGCGGGCCATGGACCAGATCCTGAGTGGATTGAATGGAGTACAGTGTTATCTCGATGATCTGTTAATTACAGGGAAAGATGATGAAGACCATCTCGGGAACCTGAACGCAACACTACAAAGGCTAAAAGAGTATGGCCTTCGGGTGAAGAAAGACAAATGTGACTTCTTCCAGCCCACCATCGAGTACGTAGGACACGTGATTGATAGCGCTGGTCTTCACAAAGCTCCATCAAAGGTAAAAGCTATTGTGGATGCGCCGTCACCAAAGAACGTAAGCCAACTGCGATCATTCCTAGGATTGCTAACATACTATGCAAAGTTCATGCCAAACCTTTCCAGTAGACTTCGTCCAC